TGAATTTATATATATATATATATACACATATATGTGTAATATATGTATATGATATATTATAAGAGATACTCACTTCATCATTGGCTAAAGCAGCCGCAAAATTATCACAGTCAAGATGTAAATATATATCAATCAATTGACTGAATAACTTCTTCGGTTGCCATCCGTATTTTTCCAGTTTTTTCACTGTCAAATTTTCAGACTTAGATCCGCACAACTGTTGCAAATTGATATTCAACATGGCACACAATTGTCCGACTAATTCCGGTCGTAGAAACGGTTCCTTAATGTCGACTGTTAAATAATGAAACATGGCAACTATTTCCTTGGTTAATGTAAGAGAGAATCTGGCTTGGGCCTCGTCCGCCGCCAGCTGTCTCGTTCTCGATTGTTGTTGCTCCTGCGAAATAGCATTCCACGCGATAATATCGGACATAAATTCCTCCACCTCGAGTATATACTTCAGATGTTCCAGAACCTTCTTGAGCAGGAAGGTGATGTCGTTCATCAATATGTTGATAAACTTGACAAAGTGCTTGCCGTTATTACTCTCATTGACGATAGACGCTCGATGCATCGGGCTATGCCACAACGAATTTAAAATCACACTTATGTGATAACATATCGTAAACTTATCCTTAAATCCGGAACTAATGTGAAGGATTTCAACGTCGGTATAAAACTTCATGAGATACGACGCCAGAAATGTCTTGGATATAGGATGTGCCATGAATATGTGGCCAAAAGTTTCTGTTCCTCGTGTAAAAACTCCTACCTGAACCTTATAAAGAACCTTGATGATTTTTGCAATAAGATGCGGATTTCGTATACAATGTGGCGTACACACGACGACGAGTAACAAAGTAAAAAGCGGCGATATATCTATATCAAACCACGGGTAGAATGACCCGAACGGGTTGAATCTGCAAATAAAACAATGCAGTTATAATTGTTAATAAGCATAAGCATTATGTATAATTTGTGACATTTGATAATTTAGTAAAAACTTACTCGAATGTGAATAACAAGAATTCCACTAAGTCTTCCACATACCATTCTGGTAATGCGGTGAATTTGCACATAACTTCTTGAGGCAACGGAAGTTCGGGAAAAGAATTATTCAGAGCAGTCTGCGTTAGAAGACTCAGCAAAAATTCGGCGACCGATATATAAAAGCCTAAGCATCTTCTCAAAAAGATGGGCTCTATCAGAGACCATCCTATCTCTGCACATAATTTGAATGTAACCAGTTGCTTCAACTGTTGCTTCCATTGTTGGATCAAGTCTTTATTGTGCTCCGCTAAAGGACCATCTTTCCATTGAGATTCTGTAGCTTGCAGTTCGTCGAGCATTTCTTGTAAGTCCTCTGAGTCATACAATTTTCTCCAATAGTTTTGCAACGCGGGTAACAGTACGATGTGATGACAATGCAGCGTGAGGAACCAACATTGTGTCGGAAACTTCGGTTCCGTCCATTTATGTGTGCTGTCCAAATGTTTCTGCCATTCCGCAACCTCTTGCGAAGTGAGTTTCAGTCTTGTGTCGTTCTTTATCTCGACGAAATTGAAGGGATGAAATGGATATAGCGAGTCTACAGTATCCAGCTTGATCTTCACAGAGAGCATTTGCAAAATCGATAGTAGATTCAACATAAATCCATCTCCGGCAAAGGAGGGACTGTCCTCCGTCTGTATTTGCGCGCGTTTCTCGTTGTGACGTAGCAACGCCGCCAAGTACGCAAGAGTGGCATCGCGGCAGCTGCTATTCGCGAGTATTGTATCGAACATCTTGTGCAAAGATATTCTGGTACTCTCCACCAACCCTAGCTGCAGCACGAAAGTCTTCAAACTGTTCGAATTTCTAGGAGTTTTATAGAAGAATCTCTCCAGATGTTTTGGTTGCACTTCGGCAAATACCAATGCCGAGAGAAACGGTCCCAGGAGTGAGGTTCTCGAGAGCTCTCTTCCGGCTGCTGATGTCATCGTTATCAAACGGCAAATCGAATGTATATTGCTGTTTGGTCCACTGGTCCACTGCGTCAGTTCGCCTAGCGTCTCGATCGGTCTTCTTTGCGTATTGCCGTAAAAGCTCGCCGCCTGTATCGCGACATACAGTTGTACAGTTGTTGGAGTGAAAATGTTATCGAACATGTTCATATTCGTGTATGTCCTAGCCACGAGCTCGCGAAGATAGCCCAGAGGTAAGTTTTGCGATAATATCCGATAGAAAAAATGAATGGTCCAATGAGGTACGATAGCAGCTTGGCAAATGCCAATTAACCCTTGTAGAACGAGGCTGGAACACTATACTGAACACATTGCGCTTTCAAAATTGTCACTACATCGGAAAGAGTATTGGAGAGAAGTACACTGGATTGCTATAAAATATATAAAAAAAGAATTAGTTTAATGAAATCTTGTCTAATTTTAAAGATATGTGTGTGTGTATATGCGTACCTTTTCATGATTTCTTTCTTCAATTGCAATTCTTGAATAACAATCTAATAAATAAGTAAAACTTTTCGGTTCTAATGAACTGTCGCCTAATAATGGTGTTGTCCAAAATTGACGAGATACAGGATACCTCACAGAAATTAACAAAAGACTCGCTTGACTATTCGGATTGTCTTCACGGCCAGATGACACGTCTATCAAAGGATCCTCCCCTCTCGAAAACATGCACAAAAC